AAATACGTTTACCCATCCAACCTACTGGACACCAGTTTAGCAATAGCGTAGATCATGGAGTATCCACTGTTTACTTTCATGACACTGCTACCCCAGGGCTGGCAAAATTCAAAATTAAATTCTTATTTCTACTGAATGGACCTCTTTTGCACTATTGGAAAGCTGAAAAATTTTAAGCCAAATTTTAATAAGTTGAGAGTCATCTGTAGCTATGCCTATACACAGCTGGGGTTAGATATGTACACATATAGTCCAAAAAGATGCATATATGTGTGCATGTGTAGGGTGTGTATGTGTGTGGAAGGTGTGTGTGTGTGTAGGATGTGTGTGTGCGTGGGTGTAGGGTGTGTGTGTGTGTATGTGTGTGTAGGGTATGTGTGTGTATGGTGTGTGTGTGGGTGTGTACGTGCATGTATGTGGTGTTGCACGTGTGTCTGGCTTCCTGGAGTTACAGGGTGGCTAAGAGGAGTCACTGTGGTACCCTAACCAGGATTAAGTGATCACTATGCCCTGGTACTATTTTAAGTGTTTCGTTCCCATTAACTCATTAGTTCCATAACTGATTTAATTATCACAGAGGTCCCACGAGGCAGGCATCTTCACTTCATTACACTCATGTTCGACACTGCAGTTGGCATGAGAGAGGGTAAGCAGCTTGCCCAGGGACATGTGGCCACCAAAGACAGGACGAGCTGCTCCCTGCAGGCTGAGGTGGAACCTGGGATGCACCCACATGAGAAGAAAAGGAAGTGGGGCAAAGGAGTAGAGAGGAGAGAAGCAGCAAGAGACAGAGCTAAGGGACAACAAGGCCAGCCGGGGCTGCAGGGCCAGAGCCGAGCACACCCCGCAGGCCCAAGTGGCGTGTGGGTGTCTGCGGAAATCCATGCTAACCGAAGCCGTGGGAGCTCTGCACGCAGTGTGCCCGCTCCCCGGCCCACTGGCTGAACTGGATCCAACCCGACAAACCTTAACCTTTCAGAGGCTTGGAACTGGGATGAGATTCCAGCTTGGTGTGGGCTGGGCTGTTGTCTTCTGTCCTCTGTGGCTGAGAGACCAAGTTCTGCCCACCACGTGGTCTTGAGGGACCAGGGGGAGAAAGGTACAGACAGAAGTCAGCAGGAGAGACCACAGTGAGCCGGGCTCCTCCTACCCCTTTGGGCTCAATGGGCCCCTTTGTTCCCCCCACTTCTTGCTCCCCAGGGAACCCATCGGTATGTGGTATTCATGACCCCAAAGTCGTGGGATTTCCTGTAGCCAGAAAAAGTTTAATCTTTCTTTGAAGCTGATTTAAAACCAAAGTGGAAGGTTCAGGGAGGCTCATCTGGGGTCGGAAGAGCAAAGAGCTTCTGAAAGTCACACGGCGAGAAAACAACAGGAGCCTGGAGTCGGAGCCTGGGCACAGCGGGTACAAGAGACCGGAACACTGAGCCCGGACAGAAGACACAGAGCCTGTGGGTGACGGAGCCAGGTCTCAACTTGTACTGTGGTTTCCACCTAGGCGGGGTCTTTAGTTTTGCTGTCCTGGCTGGCCCTGTGTCCAAAGTCTGTTTAAAACGTTTCTGTTTTATGGTCATTTTGACTTTGTGCAAGAGCCAGAAGTTGCATGGTGTCAGATCCGGTGGCTAAGCTGGTCAGGACACAGCGTTTTACCAGCCTGTCCTTCTGCTGGGTTCTACTCCGCAGTAGCCGTTTCTGAATTATTACACCTTGTAAGGATGCTCAGGAGATAGCGCTCCAGAGCTGCTGCAGAAAGCAGCCGCGACGGCAAAATGGGTGTGTGCAAATCAAGGGAGGGTTTGAGGGGATTCATGGCGGCGTCTTTCCCTGTGATGAGTTTCAGTGCCCACTGCGTCTGTTGACCATGGTTCCTACCAGTCCAGTCCAGTGTGGTCCTGCTGAGTCCCCCGTCAGTCTCTCCTCGGATGCCTTCACGGTTTCATCAACAACCTGAAGAATACATTTCTTTGGAGACTTTAAACTTGAAAATAGGTTTAACTATTTTTAAACTTTATGTACTACAAAAAGAAAATGTGTCTAATCCCGTGTCTTAACCAGTGAGGTTCCGGTCTGAGCCAGGTACTGGCGGACTTCACCATCTTTGAACAGGCACGGGTTTGAGCCCAGCTATGTTATCGGGAGCTGATTCTGAACGTCTCTAAGCCTTGCTCCCTTCCCCTGTGGGTAACAGTGTTTGCTCAGTTTGCTTTGAAGGCAACAACAGAATAACACAATGCATGGGACTTTTGTAAAACCTCACACACATTATTTCATCAATTAAATTGCAGCTATTGTTACCACTGTCATTATTACTTGTGTTCTCTCATTATCCATTAGCCCTTGTTTGAAGATACCCCAGTGTTTTATTTGCATATGACATTTTTGATACCAGAAACCATTGCTGTCTGGCTGCCAGGTGCCAGTGTAGGTCTTCTGGTCTCCCAGGAATTAATTTGTATGAATGCAACTCAGGAGGCTGGAACACATGCTCAGATGTCAACTTGTTGACTTACTGGGAGAACATACCCACCTCCGTTGCCAAAAATGGGGGATCAATCAAGGGGTTAGAGATCTTTACCAGCTAGCAGAGGGCTTTCCCGGTTTGTAGTGACAGGCTGCGTTAGCCCAAGGCTGTACGATCAACTTAGAATTTAAAACAAACTCTCCTTCTGGAAATGATCACCACATAAAAACTTATCACCCCTACGAAGGTATTTTTCGCTGGCTGTAAATCGGAGCTCAGTGGGAATCCGGTGCCCTCTCTGCTCACTCCTCCCCTCCACAGCCTCCTACTGTTTACTCCTCTGCATTGTTTTGTGATGAAATCAGCCTTCAGCCTTCTTGTTATTCACTGAGAATCACGTATATTTTTTCATTGGCTCCTTTTTAGATTTGCTTAGTGCCTTGGTGTGGTTTTCTTTGAAAAAAATCTGTCTTTTCTGAAGTTTGTAAAATTTCTTGAATTTGTGGCTTCAGATTTTGCCAGTTTGGGAGGATTTTGTTTCTTCTCCAAGGACTCTAATTTTGTGTATGTAAACTTTTACCATTGTTCATACATGTCTAAAGATTTCCTCTGTATTTCCCACCTTCATGCCCCCCAAACTTCCGCCTGAATATTTTTATCAGCCTAGATTCTAAGCCAGTCTTTAGTTGTCCATTCTGCCAGTTAACCCACTGAGTCTTAATTATGTTTCTGTTAATCAAAACCACAAAAACCATTAATCTTTAAATTCTTTCTTGTCCTTTCTCTTCACCTTTCTTCTCCTTCCCTCCTGCTCCTCATCTCCCTCCTCTTCCTCTTCCCCTTCTCTTCCTCCACTTTGGGTGCTGGAGACTGTACCCATAGCAAAACACACGCTGCACCACCCAGCTACACCTCCAGCCCCTCGAATTTGCTTCTTGAGTAAAATTATCCCTATTGGGATCAACTTCTTAGGATATAAAAATTAGCCCCACAAAGTGTGCACTGTGTATCGCCTGTAGGTCTGTTTTTGTTACCCATTTTTTCTCTTTGTTCTCTTCTGTGATCTGCCTAGTAATCTTGAATTTTAGCAACTGCCTAACAACAACTGCATCTGGGTGATGTCTGGATTTACCCAGGCATGCAACTGGGATGCATCTAACCAGGGAGTGACTTCAGGAGGGAGGGCCACTTTTGCAAGGCGCTGTTACAGAATTTGGTGGTTTGTATATGTGTGGCTTGTCCTGAGGCCTAAGGAAGGGTCTGAACTAAGGGAGGTCATGGTGTCCCATAGAAGGAAGGAAGGAGAGAAGGAAGGAAGGAAGGAAGAGACTTTCCCAGGCCACATCCTTCTTTGCAGACCCTAAAGCTCATTTCTAGCTCCTTAGCATCACAAAACTGGAGTTCCAGACATGTCCTCCCACTTCCTCAGTCCTTCCTTTGACCTAGCTGAAATTACAACCTGTTCGGCAAATCTGGAACCAGGCACTGGTTTCCCTTCCTGTCTCTCTGGGGTTCACCCTCTCAAGTCATGGCAGCCAGAACACATATGAACTAATGTGCCCCTCAGTCTCATGTGAGTTCTAGGAATCCATCGTTTTCTCTTTCATCTGCTGTCTTCTACCCTTCCTCTTGGCCTCTCACCTTTAATATTCAGCAAATGCCCTGATCCAATCATCAGGTTCTGATCTGTTTGTTCCTTCTTGCTAGGATGTCATATCTGGCTATTCTGCAGTCTTGTATGGCTTGGTTGTAGTCAGGGTTTGCAGGGGGATCAATTTACTACAGGACACATAAATTTACAGAAGCATCTTATAATTCTCACCCAAAAAGTCACACACAAAAGAATGCAAGAGATTAGTGTGTGCGCTGGAGACCCTAGCTCAGGCCTGGATCCCACAACAAAGTCCCCCAGGAGTCCAGGGAGAAGCCTAAAACCCACAGCAGTGTCTCATGCAAGGCCCTATCAGGGCTCTGCACCGGGGAGGAAGCCCAAAAGCCTGTGCGGGCGGGGTGAAGGGGTTGCACTGCAGCTAGGAAGTGACACTTAGGAGGAAGAGCAGAGCTCCCCCAAGAGCACCGCAGCCACCCTCAGTGACCTCGAGGACCTGAGCTCCTCCTCAGACAAAAACAGTCACGGCCATATGAGGAAGCCAGCGTGACAAGCTTCTCCTGGGGAGTCGGCAGCACCATCTTCCCTTCCGGGGCTCCTTCTATGCCGTTGGCATTAATACTCGGGGGGAGTTCGGCACCAGTACCATGCAGACTCAGCTCCCTGGGCGCTCCCTCTTAGCCTGACCATTAGTTAACCCACCACAGGCCCCTCGAGGATTTTTTTTTAATATATGGTTTTCTACTAATCTGCAGGCTGCTGCAATTTATTCTACCATCGTCACAGTTAATTTATTCTTAAATACAGAAATATAGGTATAGCCCCACATACAGGACTTACATATTTCCTCATAAAGCCACATACCAGTTCTGTTTTATATAATAACATGTTTTACACACACACACACACACACACACACACACACACACAGAAATCTTTATTTTCAAATTACCAGAGTGAACTCGGATATGGCCAAAAAGGGCCACGTAACCAGGGTCTACGTGTGGAAACCAAGGTGGAAATATTGTGCTATGAATTCCAATATAGCTCTGGTGGTTTTAACATAAATCCTTTAAAAAATCCATAAGTATAGAATTTTAATGATGAAAATCAAGCTTCTCTCTGTACAGAGCAACACATGGGAGAAAGAGAAACAGCTCAGTGCCTAATTGGTGCCCTGGAAGATATTTATAAAATAGATTTTAAAAAGGAGGAAATTAGAGTTGTAAAGGGGATTCCAATACAAGAGACTGATAAAGATTGAGGTCATAATTCTTTTGACCTACTCCAACCTTCCATTTGAAAGATAATTACATGGAGAGGAGGTTGCAGGACTGCGTTCCCACGGTCAGACAACTAAAATTTTGTCTCTACTTTCACGAGAAAAAAAAAAGAAACGGCAAGATAGCAACCAGATGGCAGGACGAAGTGAGTCTTACAAATGTCTGGTTAGTACTTTAAACTTGGAACGTGAATTCTGCCACGTGGGCCAGCCCTGTGCTCCCCGTGATGTGGATCAAGAGTCAGCAAGCAGAGGCCTGGAGGCCCAGTCTGGCCCAGTGCCTGTCTGTGCCAATGAAGTTTATGGGACCCCACGTGGCCTGGCCATCGTTTTTGGGGAGACCCATAGCTGACTTCGGGCTGCAGTACGCCAAGTTGGCAGTCTTGGCAGAGATCATGTGTCTGGCAAGGCCCCGAGTGGACTTGTGTTGGAAGCCTTCGGGGCCCCAGCTCCTCTGTCCAGCGATGGACTTCAGGGAGCTGCCGTCCCTGTTCTCCTAGGCCAGGCTCACCGCAAGGCGGGTGTCAGGGCTCCAGGAAAGGGCTGTGCGTGTCCTCAGTCTGCATCGGGTGTAGTTCATCACACCATGCGTTTCTCCTCTCCGCCCTAAGGGTAGACGCTGTTTAGGATTCCCGTTTATTAAAGAGGAGAAACACTTCCATCTTACAGCCTTGTGCCTGAAGGGAGAATTCTGTCTTTTCTACTTCTCCTTCCAAGTCTAATGGCTAAAGGAATCTACAGGAGAAGCGCTGCCTGGCAAAGTGGGAAGAGAGCCTGAGGAGTGTTGGGGCGGGAGAGATCGCATGGACCTCGATGCTGTCCCTAAGGTGCGCAAAGTTTTCAGTCCGGCTGAGCCTCCAGCTCTTCACCTGGAAAGGCAGGTTTCTTGCAAGCAGCTCAGTCACGGCTGAGCCCTGTGTGTAGTGCTGGTTGGAGTGACTTGGCAGCTGGCCACTCTCCCACGATGGCTTTCCCCGTGTCACAGAAGCCTTTCCCGGGTGGTGGAGCGCAGACTGGGTCTGCCCAGCTTCCTTCCTTACAGACACACCGGATCCTACACAGGTTATTTATCGCTTACAACAGCCTTGGGCAACCGAGTCTCATTCTGTGTAAGTGCTCTGTGAACAGCCCGCCTGAGAAGCGCATAGACGCGGGACCAGGGAGCTCTGGCCGTCCCTGTTAGTGGTAGCATCTGCAGTCTCTGTGTCCTCCACTTCTGAAGCCTGTAATTGACGCCTCAGACTGCGGTTTATGATTCAGCATGACAGATTCTTTTGTGTTAATGAGAAGTTATTCAGCAGTTCATTCCTGGCCCTTACTGCAAACTGTGATAAAGCCAGTGGTTTTAATGAGGCTGGAACACACTTTTCCAAGGGACTTCTGCAGGGCTGTCCCAATTAACGCACTGTGCTTTTCAGACACAACTGCTCAAGCGTGCTCGCTGTGCAGACGATGACGCTGTTGGAGCCAAAGTGGCACAGTCCCCGGTGCTTGCCTACGCAGCTGCCTGCCAAGGACGGAGGACCAGGAGGAGGCTGAGGAACCCGAGGACACGCAGATCTGACCTGACCGCTGGCCTGCGAGGGGACTGGCAACTTCCCCACCTTATAACCACTGCTCACAGAGGAGGAAATGGTGGGGCTTTTGTCACTCACTGCCTTACATGTAGAGCTGATCCACTCTGGGCGCTCAGCACACTTCCTCTGCTCCTGGATTCCTTTGTCACTTTAATGGGAGCGGTTTTGTTCTCATGTTGTTCCTTAACATCAGTATTTACTCATGCAAGGCACCTGTACACTTTTTTTTATTTTTGTTAGGTGGTAAGGAACTTCTGTGCTTTTATTTTCTTTTTCTTTTTTTTTTTTTTAGATTTTATTTAAGGAGAAAAAGAAAAAAAAAAAACAGAAAAAGGGTACAAGTTATACAGGATTTCAGAAAAATAGTAGGAAATCACTAGTTAATAGATTTCATATTGTTATCTTAGAAATAGTTGTTCAAGTTACAAAATTAAAGCATATAAAGTGGACTTTCAAACAGTGAGACTGCAAAGAGTTCTGTTCAATGATCCAACAAAACTCAGTAATATGGTTATCTATCTTATACACTTAAATATACATGCAGTTATATCCATTAGAGCACTTTCTTTTCCTCTCTTTTGTACAATGACAATTACACATTTTGGGTTTTATTACCCCTACAGTTCTTACTACTTTTTTTGGAGGAGAGTAAAACCAAATGTGACATAACAGAACAGAGCCAGTCAAATCAAAAGGATGGACATAATACATAATGTAAAAAAAAAATACAAGGTGATCAACAACGGTTACCATACTGCCTCTTGCTATCTTAAAAAGAACTGCCTATATCATCAGTTATAATAAAATTGAACAAAACAGTAAAGAATAAAACCAAAACATTGGAGACATTACAGGACTTATAAGAAGATAATAGTAAACCAGAATGGGTGTCATAATGAATCTTATTGTCTTCACAGTTGTTGCCTATACTTTTGAACTTGGTACTATCAAGCAAAGCAGAATAGGGGAAAATCAGTCAAAACAAGATGGTGAGGGCAATACAGGGTTTCAAATCAAGTTAATAGGAAATCAAAGTGGGTTACTATAATATATCCTGCTATTTTTTATTTATTTTTCCCTTGATTAAAAAGATAAAAATAAAAAGTAAATAATTAAAAAAAGGAGACTGAGATAAAAGGGCATAACAACAAAACAGCACAGGTCAAAACATAACCATTTAAGCAAAATAGTGTTTCACCACAAGATATCCTGACAAAAAAGTAGTTACCATAGTGTCTCTTTCCTTGAAATCTTTGAGTATAACTTCGTTTACTGTAGCACCAAACATATCAAGACAATGTAAAACTATTCAAGAGAATGACAGTATTACAGGGTATTTAGAACCAACTATCAGAAAATGAACAATGGCCTCTGCATAATCTCCCTGTCTAGAAAAGTTTTTGTTTATATTACCACATATAATAAAATCTAATAAGATACAACCTGTTAAGACCGATGGAGACAGAAGAATAAAAGCTTGATGGGACTTCAAAACAAGATGATACTAAATAAGCACTAGGTATTATGATGTCTTGTTTTCTCCAAAATAGCTGTTCCTACCATCCAACCTTCTCTGCTTCATTTCTGTTGAGCTTTTTTTCTGTCGTTAGTTGTCAGTTTGTCTTCTTCATTTTGCTTTCTGCTCCATTCATTGTGGCCTCTCTGCCACTGTTTCTGGAATCTTGGTATTTTCCTTTTTTAGAATATCCTGCAGTAATCTCTGTAGAGTTGAATTGATGGTTGCAAATTCCCCTAGTTCCTCTTTATCCTGGACGCACCTTGTTTTTCCATCAATTTCTAGGGACAGTTGTGCAGGATATATCAATGTTGGCTGGAGGTTATTATTTTTCAAAGCTTGAATTATTTCCCCCCACACTCTTCGTGATTTGATGGTTTGTGCTGAGAAGTCTGCTGTAATTCTGATGGGTGTTCCCTTGTAAGTGATCTGTTTCTTGTCTCTGTCGGCTTTTAATATTCTGTTCTTATATTGGATGTCTGGAATTTTGATTATTATATGCCTGGGTGTAGCTCTGTTTGGGTTGTAGGTAGCTGGGGTCCTGTATGCCTCATACATCTGAGTATCTTTACCTTTTGCTAAATTCAGGAAATTCTCCTGGATTATTTCTGTGAATAGCTTTTGTAGTCCATTTGTTTGTGTCCCTACTTCTTCTTTTATGTTCTTAATTCTTAAGTTATAGATTGTCTTATCGTCTTCTAGCCTTTGTATTGTGGCTGTTTGTTTTCTTGTTATTTTTAAGAAGTTTTTCATTTCATGCTCTCACATTACAAATCTGCCCTCCAGTTCAGATAATCTATCCTTAGTTTCTTTCAAGCTGTTATGCCAGCTTTCAATAGAGTTTTTAGTTTCCTGGTAGTCTCTTTGAACCTGCTTCACATATTCTATGTTTTCTCTATTTTCTCCATCAAACAATTCTCCCCTTTTTTTTGTTCTTCTATTCCACCATCTGTTTTTTCTTGGGCGGTGCTTAGCATATTTCTAACTGTTCTACTTATATCTTGCTTTATTTCATTAAATACTTCACTTTTGAACTCATCTATGAGGCCTCAGAGGTATCACTTTATGTCTATTGGTGCCGTGTCTGATATTGCATATTTTCTGTCCTCCTTTGCATTTACCTTTCCTGGATCAGTTTTCTCAGGATTGGGGACTGAGGACCCTTTCTTGTTGCTCCCTCTTCCTATACTTTTTGTTCCTTCCATGCAAAAACATATAGGAGGCCCAGTTTTTTCTTTGTTGGTTACAGTTTGTTTGAATTGCATTGGCTAGGTGTTCCCGCCCACTGCAGTGCACTAGGGAGACATAGACCTGGGCAGCCTTTGCTGGGCCTGCCCCTCCAGGTCAACCTAGTGAAGGCTTCACTGCTAGGGTGCACCGCCAGGTGCTGGGACCTGGTTTGGGCTAGCCTACTGGGTCTTAGTCAACAGTGTCACCCAGGCTAAGCGCTCCGCACCAATCCCGCTTGAGAGAGGAATATGCGACTGAAGTCACTGCAGCGTCCTGTTCCGGCTAGTCTGCCTGGTCCTAGAATGTCCTTTGCTGGAGCCTCCTACTCTGTGGAAGGCTCCCCGTTCCCCTCACTCACCACAGGTCAATGCAGGGCTCCCTGCCAGTCTCGCTCTCATCTCCGTTCGCCGGTTCCCACTCTCAGAGCTTTCACGCCTCTCTTCCTGCCGTGTGGATTTGGATGCAGCGTTGGTGGCAGGAAATTCAAATTGCGGCTTCCAGTGGCGTGGGTTCCAATATACTATGGAGATAGAACAGTGGATAATCTCACAGGCTGTTATAGTATCATAGAGAAGACAAATGTACATTCAAATCATACTGACGTATGGAACCCTATCAAAGCTCTTACTATAGAGATGTCAGATATTTGAGGAACACAACTTTCATTTGAGTTCAAATTATGCTTTTATGGTTTACAAAGGACTTTTGGTACATTATTGCTCATTTGTGCCCCCACAAAAGTTCCAGGATGTATATAAGGACTATTATGCTAATTTTAGAGATAAAAAAATTATGGTTCAGAATTGTTAACTCACCCAAGTTTGTTGACAAATAAAAGAAGCTGAGCCTAAGTTCTTTGCCCGATTCTCAGAATTATTCTGCTTCTCCTGGGTTATATAAAAGGGCAGGGCGTCAATGAGTTCTCTAAATAATCTCCTCACTGAAGCCTTAATCCTCAATGTGAGAAAAAGTAAATAAAAACAAAACTCAGATTCTACCTCGTCCCAGAAAGAATGGCCATCATTAAGAAATCAGCCAATAACAAATGCTGGAGGTGCTGTGGGGAGAAAGGAGCCATCTCCATTGTTGGTGGGAATGTAAACTGGTACAAGCCCTATGGAGATCAGTGTGCAGACGCCCTCCAGATCTAAAAGTAGAAAATTCCATTTGACCCAGGCGTTCCTCTTCTGGGTATCTTCCCAAAAGAGTTAAAGGCACTGTATTTCAGTGAAGTGTGCACACCCATGTTTATAGTGGCAGTAATCACAATACCTAAACCTTGGAAGTGGCCTCTGTCCACCCACAGAGGAATGGATAAAGGAAACATGCATTTACACAGCACGGGCGCTGCCCTGCCACAGAGAAGGCCAAGCTGAGTGACCTGTAGAACAGAGGATGCACCTCAGGCCACAGTGTTCAGTGAAACAAAGTAGGCATGCGAGCCACATAGGACGATTCCTCTTAATGAGAAACCCAAAGTGTAAAGAAAGAGCAAAATAAAAGGAAGATAATAGGAAGCAGGGAGAGAGAGCATCTCAGATGAAAGGTGCTAACAGATGGAGGGAGAGGAAGGAGGAAGAAAGAAGGGAGCAAAAGAGAACTACGATGTGTTTTAAAAAAGGTATTAAAATGTGCCAGCTCTTCACAAGGAATGCAATCATTTTGTACTGCAGACATGTACTAAAAAAACAAAACTGAAACGTTACAGGAACACACTTTATTACTTGCTTTTGTTTTAGTTTCCCATTCTCAATTTCAAAATGAGAATCTTTAAATTATTCAATTTCAAGTTAAATTCATCTTCAAATAACATTTGAAGATCGTTCTTTAAATCAGAATTCCGTCTGTGAAGGTCTCTACTATTAAAAGGAGATAAGCATTTGCTCCTCCATTTTAGGAGCATTTTGAGGGGATGAAAGGAAATCTGCCCTTGGAGGTTACAATTTAAACAGTCACCATAGGTTTTGAATGGAACTCTGTCAAATAAAAATACCACGCTGTGTCCTCTTCCACCTGATTCACCCACACTGTGGGGCTGCCGGCTCTGCCCAAGTCAACATGGCGTGACAGGGAAGCCTTCTGAATCCAGGCAGGACCTTGAGGCAGCCAGGACGGCATAGCTGAAGACACTCGGAGAGAGGGCTCCACACAGTTCCGGGACGTCTGGATGGCTCACCCAGGCTGAGCTGGGCACCATATCTGGTCCCTTGTCCCTTGCTCTGTGGTGCTGCCCTGCTCTGGTTCCTGGCCTCCATGAACTGAGCGTTTTGCTCTGCGCACCCTTCTGACACCACGTTCCTGCCCTGGAGCGTGGACTGAAACCTCTCCTCCTCTGCGTCCTGGGTGCTGAGTCTGGTGTCCCAGCGCTGGTGACCCGGCTCATGCAGTCTCTCATGGGAGGTTTTCCTATGCTTGGGCTGCACAGTTCCAGCTCTGTTTCCTCACATCCCTGCTACCTTGTTTTATAAAATTAAAGTTAGGAGGTAATCAAAGCATGGTACATTTCCACACGAAGAGTTTTTTTATTTTGTTCAGAATTATTAAAGAGAAGGAGAAAAGGAGAGCAAATCTCCCGGGGTACCCTTGACAGACGAGGTGCAGCCGTCACACAGGACGGGAGCCTGGAGTGCTGGGCCTACTAGCGCAGCCTGGTTGTGTGGGAAGGCAGCAGGCCTCTGCGGAAAGTCAAGTCTAACTGCAGTTTGAGGTGCACGTTTATAAGGGGTTCCCTGGAGCAGCGACTTGACCACCACCAGACATCCCTGATGACACATAAGAAGGTGCAGTGCTGGTGGCTGGGGATTCGGAACTCAAGGCTAACAGGGTGTGGCCTGCGGAGCCTCGCTGGCATCTCGGAGAAGGGCTGACGGAAGGGACAGTCACCCAACCTGGCTCTGTACGTCTGCTGAGCCCCTAGAGTTAGCGGTGAGGTGTTTTGGAGTTCAGCGGTTGACGCAGTGGGACTGGATAGAGCATAACACACGTGTCACCTAGAAAGGAATCTACGTCCCGCTCTTACACAGCAAGGCACAGTACAGGCGTTGCAGGCTCGGTGTTTGTAAACGGCAGGGTTGGGTGTAGCTCAGGGTACCGCAAGTGCTTATCATGTGCAAGGCCTGGGCTTAATTCCCAGCGGGAGAGAGACAGAGAGAGACAGAAAGAGACCCAGAGAGACAGAGAGACAAAGACACAGAGACATGACTCTTCCTCACTAGAATCTATTTTTATACACTGTGTATTATTTGTTATTACCCAAATAACAATACTTTTACCACCCAAAGAGTCTCTTGCTGTTACAGCTGATACACTGTGGCAACTTGAGAAGTCTACAAGCTTCACAAGGAACTCAGCAGCTCTCATCCTGGGGGTGGAGGATGAGCCATTGCAGCTCTGGATGTTACTCACTGGGTCCACTTGAGCAGAAGTTTAAGTGACTCAGCAGGGCCAGGGTCCTCACTTGGTAAATACCCTCAGCCTGTGCAGGAGGAGGGCATGGATGGTGTGAGTGCTGCGCCCACCCCAGGGGGAAGCCTGCTTACAGTGTAAGGGAGGAAAGGAGGTTCTGCCTCCCCCACCTCACGTCTGCACTGGCTGCTTTTGCTATCTTCTGCTCCTTTGAACTGTTGTCCCTGTGCCACGCCACCCTACTTTGGAGCCAGATGATTATGGGCAGAAACCTCCACAGACAGTGAGTTAAATAAACCTTTCCTCCTTTAACTTTCAGTGTCAGCAGCAAGAGAAAAGTAACTATGACACTCTGTGTGGACAGAGATTGGGTTTACACTGAAGTGACTCCAGGAGGTGGACCTGGGCCGGCACACGCTGGGCACTGGGTCCGTATGTGCTGACCAATGAGTGGACAAATGGATGAAAGCTTTGCTTATTCACTGGATGACACTGAAGAGGCCTGAGTGATGGTGAGGATGCAGGGAAGTAGCATCACGATCTGCTAGAGGTGAACCCAGATCACCCTTGTAGACAGAACTTGAAAATATTCTTCTGAGTTTGAACATTCCCTTTCTTCCGACACCTCAATTTCCTGTTCCCTCCATGACAATAGGAGATCCCATGAAGCTCATAAAGAGAGGTGGCCCATAATAGTTACAGAAGTATTTTTGCTAAAAATAAAAGAAACAGAAGCAACCTTAAGGCCCTCACTAGACTGGGAACTCAGGAAAGAGCTTTGAGAGCGCCTGCTGCAGACCTCCATTAATGGAGCCTGGAATACTTTGTTGAGTTTTTGTTTTTAATGAAGATGGGCTACAGAATCATAATCCAGTCCTCCTTGCTTTTTCACAGGAAGCCCTGTGTTGAGGGAGGCAGCTTGTGCTCGCATAAGCTAGTTCAGTGAGGGAGAAACTGTTAGAGACCCAGTGTCCAAATTGCATCCCCAAACCCACATATTTGCCAACACTGAGATTAAACATGAACACTCGGCTGCTGGGGTGGTGCTGGGGTCTTGTGCTGACAGCGGGGGCCATGTGTGCCCTTGTGGCACCCATGCCATGAGTCAGCACCACAGCACTAGATGGGACCTGGCACGATGTTTTCAAGCGTGGCGGTTATCTCGGAGAGGGGACAGGAAGGCGACTTTGCTTCCTAATTTAAACACTTCTGTGCTATTTGAATTTTTCCATCATCAATTATTTACAAAGTATTTTTAAATGCCACATTTCTCAGCAAGCCTAAAAGTAATCCAGACAGCTCTGGAGGCTTGGTTTGCAAATGGCCTGCAGCTTATAGAGTGACCTTGAGCAAGTTGGTTTTGTGAAAAATGAAGTCCCTGGTTGACAAGGAGGCAGGCAGCTCCTGAGTGGCCCCTGGCTGTGCACCCCAGGCCCTGAGCCACCCTGAGAAGCAGCAGGTCACACCTGGGTGTGGCAGGAGAGGTTGCCTGAGGCCACCTCGTGTATTGATGGGGCCAGGCTGCCCAGGGCTCCTTCCTGTTGCTGGCCAGGGTGTGGGTGAGTGCAGCAGTCAGGTTGCCGTGCAGGCTTCCCATCAGTGCTTGCGCTTGGAAGACATCTGAGCTGGGAAGCTCTTCCCATAGCCAGGCCCCCAAGCACCCTAGAACCCCTTTCTAGGGTTAAGCGCTGAGACCGTGGCCCCTTAATGTGACAGATGCCGTGCTGGGGGTCTGATAGTGCCCGCAAAGCTGTGGAGAGAAGACTCGTGCTTGCAGAGGAGGCTCATCCTTTCCCAGCTTTTGCTGTTGGCCACTAGAAGTGAACATATCTACTATCATTCTGGGCCCTTCCAAGCATTTGGTCTGTCTATCACCATGATCTGTGAGGGTGCCTCAGTTTCCCCCTCAACCCCCGGCCTCCCTGCGTTAAAGCTCTGTGTTGCTCCCCAAGTGCTGCTATGGACTGACTTCTCCCTCTTGTAGCCCCGGTTGGCGTCCGTTTTCCACCTGATTCAGGAGATTCAGCTGCCCCCATCTCCAGCTTCCACGAGTCCTCCCTCCGCTGAAATGTGTCCTCTGACCAGCAGGGTGCAGATGGTGCTCAAGGCTCCTTCTGAAAGCTGATTTCCTCCCCGGGCCACAAGAGAGAGAGCAGATTATGTGGCACTGGGGGCTTGGGTTTGAGTTTAAACTGTGATTAGCTTGCTTGGATTTCTCAACATTCCTTTTTTGTAAACTGGTCTGAGTAATCTCGACTGCCTTTCAGGGTCACCAAGTGAATCTAAGGTGTAGGCACTGCTAGTACGGTAACAGTGCCCACGGTGACCAGGAACTTGTATGAATGCAGACCTGGAACCCTCACTCTGAGATACCTGAGATGCACCTGGGTTTGCACAGCTGACAGCGGAGCTGAGGCCAAATGCGGGCGGGTGGCTCGGAACCGGGTCTGAGCAGCCTGTGGTTTAGAGAAGGGACAGACTCACCAGGCACTTCAGCGACTTCCTGTTAGACTGGGGTCTGGTGGAGGAGGCAGATCACTGGGCTGCGACCTGGAAATGCATTGTCTGGGCCCCAGGTTCCTGGCTGTCATGACTGAGCAGTTATCAGAAGAGGGGCTTGGGAGGTGCTGGGGTGATATGGCCAAAAGTTAGAAAATTTCAGCTAGGAGAAGTATATTCCAGAGATCTGTTGTACAGATGGTGAGTATCATCTTACACTTGAAAATCTTACACAGAATGATTTAGATATTTCATCGTATGGGAATATATCAAGACATCAGGCTGTTCTATGCATAAGCATATCACTTTTGTCAATTAAAAATCAATCAGTCAATAAAAACAAATGTACCCCCACCAAGCCTGCTGAGCCAGTAACCCTGCAGGTGTGTGGGGCATGGCATCTAGGGTTCAGTAGGCTGCTTAGGTGATTCTGGGGTCAGGTGCAGCTGGGAAGTACCGGTCTCACACAATAGCAACACCCACAAGTGCACATCTGACTCCACTCCGAGGAGCTTTGCAAACTGGCGAATCCATTCCTATTTCCAAGTCCCTCAGAGATCCATGTTCTGAAAAAGCTTAACTGACTACTCTTCATCCCCACCCCCACCTCCACATAAAAACTTCTGTGAAGTGCTTCATGTATCTGGCACGTGACCCCAGGCTCCGCTCTCATGCCCTAAAAGAGACTGAGACCCGGGTGGTCGGCACCTCATTGCATAATTAAGAAGCCAATTCTCCAGCCAGGACTCCACAGTCGATGACTTCAAACCCCAACCCCACTGGAATCGCAAACATCTGCCCTGGGTGCTGGCAAACCTCTGTGCTTACCCTTGATTGTCATGATTTACACAAGGAGATTATTTCTACCGCACACGAATCCTGTACGTACCTCCACGCTGTGACCTCGGATACTCGAGGAGCACACCTGTAGAAAACATCTCCCCGACACCCGCATGGTGCCTGGGATCGCTTCCTCCCAGACGGTGCTGATGACCACATCGTGCAGGGATCCGGGCAGTGGGCAGAACAGGGGTTGAGTCAGCTCTCTGGGTGGGGGCTGTGAAGGGACCCCGAAGAGGGCAGTGAAGCTGGGAAGGCGGTGCCCAAACCCAGCTCCCCTCAAAACCCTTCCAGTAGGGCGGGGATGGGACCAGGCGCTGGCGCCCTGTCCATGCGGGTGCACTCTAACTTGAGCCCCCTCCATGCAGTAAGGCGCTGACTTCTCCCTCGCTCGTGCTCTCCGTCACGCTCGTTTCTCCTCCTGCCCCTGGGAGCCTTCACACTTGCTGTGCTCCCGAAGATTGCCTTGGGTTCTGTTCCTGCAGCTCTCCTTGAATGTGCGACGTGTCGGTGAAAGCAAAAACAGACAAGAAGACTTCGGTGGGAACGTGTGCTTTGCCGGTCACACTGCAGTCTGGGGTGCGTATGTGTGTGTCTGTGCATGTGTGTGTTCACACTGCTGTACGTGAGAAAATCACAGAGAAGGAAGGCGGGGCAGACGGGAGAGACCCGCAGGGAAGGTGACTGCTTCCCACCTCCCATGGAGGCAGGCGGCTCCTGCGTTGCCCGGCTACGTGGCAGGGGCTCAGACTGGCTGTTTCTCTTTCTTTGCCTCCTTTCTTAGCGGCTGTAACTGCAGCAACGGCAAAACAATATGCCATTGTCCTGCACAGCGCTTCCAGGCCGGCTGCCAGGGTTAGTCCTAATGTGATCAAAAATGGTTGAGTTATGAAGCCACTGAAAAAACCGGTTTTCTACAGGAAATAGCAATTTATTAAAATCAGGCTCCCCAGATGCCGTGGCTGTTAGGCTGGCAGTGGGCCAGGCTGGCGGAGTTGGCAGAGTAGCAGGCCGACAGATGCGATCTCCCAGGGGTGTGCATGTGTGTGTCCCGAAGAGGCAGCTGTCAGGTGAAAACAGGAATCTCCAGGTGACAGTGCCACCGGGAACACCAGGAGGAGGTTTCCTGTGTCCTGTTTCCCGCCGTGCTGGGGACACTGTCTGTGAATTCTGCCCTTTACACAGCTTTTAAACTCCACTGCAGTTAATCTCTTTGTCACAATTTTTTTTCCAGCAGAATATATGCTAAGATTTCTTTCTTTTTGGTACTGGGGATAGAACTCACGACCTCGCACTTGCCAGGCAGGCGCTTATGCCGCTGAGCTAAATTCCTGCCCCCATTTTGAGATTTCTGTAGGATCTCGGGTTTTAATCAAGCAGAGGTTCTTCATGTGGCTGAGCTTTGGCTCCTGCTTCTCTACAGTGGGAATAACACCTGTCCTATGGATTGTGGAGGTAGATAAAGCAAGAAGCAGTAACCCAAACGCTGTCATTATCTCCTGCTCCACTGGGCCACTGGGCCACTGGCTGCTGTGACCAGGCAGAGCTTCTGGCCCGAGCACTAGGGTCCTGAGACCTCTGCCCTGGGAAAAGAGCTGACACTTAGGGACTCTGTGGACTTCGATGCCCCTGATCCTAGGGCCCTCGATCCCAGCATTGCACCAGGAATCTGGCTCAGCGTCACACACTCTACGGCCAGCCTCTCTGAAAAGCCCTGCCTGTGATCACGTGAGGCTTTGGGGGATGTCAGGACACAGCTGTGACACATCCCTATCAACACGGTAGATGGTTCCCCTTGGTCTTTCCAGCACTTGCTACTGGTTTTTTGGATGATTCTTTCTAGAAGTAATAAATCAGACATACGAGCTTACATGTGGGGTAACTTCTCTTAGAAATCCAAAGTGTAAATCATTTTTAAAGAACAAAAAGGAAGGGCTAAGGCTAGATCATCAGTACAGCATCTGCCTGGCAAGCACAAGTTTGTGAGTTCCATCGCCAGTACCAAAAAAACCAAAAACAAAACCTGACATTTTAGCTGGGTGTGGTGGCACTCGCCTGCAATCCCAGCACTTGGGAGGCTGAGGCAGGAGGATCACTGCAAGGTCCAGACCAGCGTGGGATACAAACAACTCAAGGCTGGCCTGAACAGTAGGGGGTGACTGTCTCAAAAAGACAACAAAACGAAACAAAATAATAAAAAGAAGAACGCCAGACCCTGGACAACCGGCCAGGAGACCAGAACCAGGAGGGTGCCGCGTGGTTCTAGTATGGGACCAATGGGCGTGGCTCGCACCAACAGAGCTGGATGGCCCCAACCGGGAACCCAGGAGCTGCTCTGTCCACAGAGCCGGAAGCTCGGAACAAGAGGGGCCACAGAGGGAGCCCCAGCTCAAGGCTGCAGGCCTGGATGCTCCCCGAGCTCAAGTACAAAAGCCAAGAACTTGTAGTCCGCGGTGCTCACGTGACGGCTGCGGTCAAGGAAGCCTGAGTTTGTACGCATGTCCCAAGCCGCTTCTCTGCCCATTGGACAGAGCCCTCCCCTTTGAGGGCGGGCCTTCCTTGCCGATTGGCTGATCCACAGGCCAATCATCTCTGGAACCAATCCTGTGAACACACTCGGAAATGGGCTCCACCGATTTTCCCCAGTGTTTCAATCCATTCAAATTGACCCCGAGAATAAATGTCACCCGAGTCCACGGAAAGACGGTGCTTCCGACTTGACTCAGCACAAACGGAAGGAAAAAGTTGTAAGCTGATTTTTTTAAAGCACAGAAATTAGTATTTTTTTTTCAGTTTATCCGTCGTTTTTTCTTCTCTAATTATTTTGATTTTTGGACACAACCACCGCACATACGCATTGGTACAGCGATATTTCAGTGCTTGTATATAATGTGTAACGATCAGGTCAGGGTAGGTGGCGTTTCCTTTGCCGCTTGTTTTATTTAGTTTTAGTTTTTGATTTGGGAACACTAGGGGGTTGAACCTAGGGACTTTGCACCGAGCCACATCTCCAGTTCTTTTATTTGTATTTTGAGGGACATTCCGTGTGAGTCACCAAGCTGGACACTCTCAGGGATCTGGTAACAGTTGCTCTGGTCACTACTTTGAGATGTGACTCATATTGGCAACATAATGTCCCTGGGTTCCATCCCCGTTGTTGCCTTCCTTCCTTGTTTATGGCTGAGTCGTGCTCTGTTGTGCACACCTGTCCTGTGTCTTTACTCCGTGATTCCCAGCGCACACCAGTGTTGATTTCCTACCGTGGCTGTTCTGAACAGCTCTTCAAGAAACATTCGAGTGCAGGTGTCCGGAGACCCCTTGGCTTGAATTCCTTTGGGCAAATAACCTGTTGTACAGTCTCTTATTTTTATTTTTTGGTGCCTTTTTGAATCAGGGGCTCACTCTGTAGACCAGGATGGCCTTGAATTTGTAGTGATCTTCCTGCCTCAGCCTCCCCAAGTGCTAGGATTACAGGTGTGAGCCACCATGCCCGGCTTACAGTCTCTTTTTAACCTGGAGGATAAGTTGAATTAGGAAAATTGCATGTGCCTAGGCCTGTGTTTCTCAAGTTTCTTGATGAAATCCAGATTTAAAGAAATTTTTTCAAATCTTTTACTTTATTAGTGATTGTGTTAATTTTCTCTACTTTTTAATTTTTTTTTGCCAGAATGAGAGGAATTCATTTTAATGCCCGGTTGGGGAAGTGCAGTATCTTAAGTTTATGTCTTTGTCAGTAAAGTAAAAGTCAAGTCCCATTTAATTTTCTCTTGGGAGCCTGGGAACATTCTTTAGATTTCTTTGATACGGCGTTCCTTTAATTTCTGGCCAAGTGAATATATTCCAGTCCAAGATAAAGATAAAAAAGAGCTATTGAACTTTTCTGATGCTCTCTTTGTACAAATTAGATCTTTTTGAAAATGCAGAATAGCAGCACTGACTTTGAATTTTACCCCGAGGTTGTAAGCTCAGGATCCGCACTCTAGGGCCAGTCTGGGATCTCACTGTGTCCTTGACACTAGAGTAGAGGCAGCTGTGAGCCTCTCGGACCCAGCAGCATCTTGGGTGCAGACCTGGACGCCCTGGTTACTGTGGCTGCTGAGCCAGGCTGCTCTCAGTCTCAACCACCTTGTCCTCTTGTCCCTCCAGGTCTCCTGGACCCCAGAATGGGGGCAGATCCTGGGTGCTGACCTTAAGCCATCTTTGGGGACACTGGGGCTTGGCCAGCACCTTGTATGCAGGGTGAGGGGCCCAGGCACACCCTGATTTAGAGGTGCTGCAACCTGCCCACCTCAGGCCTGTGAATTTAAAAATCATCCCCTAGATCCTTCTAGGATGTCTAGGAAGAGAGGGGGAGCTTACGTGGGTACCCTTTTGCTCCTGTTAGTTCCTAGACAATGCCCCCTCCCAGGCCTCCTGAGGTATGTGGGTCCCTGACCTAGATGGGAATGCTCAGAAGTCCCAGTGTCCCATTCTTTGCAAAGTGTTTGTACATTTTTGCAAGTGCAGAAATATAAAAATATATAAAATCATTTTCTCTCCTTACAATTAGTAGTGCATTTTAGAATGTGGCAAAGGACATTGTCAGCTGCCCATTAAATCAGCAGTGAACGGATTAGTGAATGTATGTATTTAAACTGACTTTCAATGTGTTGACAATTTGGGTTTCTAGCAGTGCAGACAGTGTTAGGGTTTGTCTCTGGATGTCCTCCCAAAGCCTCATGTGATCACGGTGGGGCGGGCTTTTCGGAGACAGCTGAATCTAGAGTTTGTGATTGCTTCATTTTCTAATGCTGGGATTCAGGGTGTGAGTGCTACACCGACTCTAGGGCAGGTATCCTGTATTACAATATGAGGGACAGAAAGAGGCTTGTCCCCTCTTTTCTTCTGTTGCTTTTGATGTCCTTTGCCACTACAAATTATTACCCCTCTGCCATGCCACCCTACCTTGGAGTCATCTAATTATGGACTGAAACCTCCACAAACTGTGAGCTAAATAAACTTTCCCTTCCTTAACATTGGGTGTTGGGTATTTAGTCTCAGCAAGGAGAGAAAAGTAACCATGACAACAGTCATTTTGAGGTAGCTCTTTCCTCTGGAACAGAGGTAGCAGTCAGTATTGTTTCCTGCCCTCTTGTACCTTTCTTTCCTATCTTGAACACAGAGACAAAGTCTGGAACGTCTGCAGCCATCTTGTAACCATAAAGCAAACAGCATGGAAACACAGCCAAAGCTCTGAAAACAGTGGGGCAAGAGGGGGAAAAGCTTGCTGTTGGATGGCATCACAACCAGCTGGACCAGTGCCACCAGCCATCCTGTTCAGGACTCCTGATCTTGTGAGGAGAATGAATCTTTATTTCTCATTCTTTTCTCCTTTTTTAGGTCTGCTGTTTGGCTCTCAGCATTCCCACAGTATGAGGGCTCAGTTATGCAAACATTTTTGTGGACATGAAAACAATGCTATGCTATGAATAGCTTTAGCTGCTGACCCTGAGCAAATGTGCTATAACCTTATTATTATATGCTGTTAATGTGCTGTAGCTTTATTATTATATACGCTGGTAAGCAGAATGCTCTGTGTTACGCAGCCTCCCTTGAAAATGACCTGCAGCTTGTGCACATGTAGGAT